AAGTCTTCAGCAATGGACACCGGCCTGCCTTTCAGCAGCTTTTTCTTGGAGAACATCAGGCGTCTGTAGGCATAGGAGGTAAACTTCACTATAATGGGCCTGGGTTTCCCATCAACTTTCTTGCCAATACGGTGAGCCCTGTCAATACAGTTCTTGCTGATATTGACGCCCAGCTGGGTGGCTAAGTCTACAATCAGATCTTCAGCGACTTCGCCCCGGGTCTCTTGAACGCCGAAAACACGGAGATTGTTTCGACGGCCGTATTGTTCCATGTCGTCTAACCTCGCTTCTACACTGCTAGCGAATAGACTCAGCTTTTGAATTTCCATGTCCTTTGCGGCGTTGCTCTTCTTTAGCTCTTTAATCTCGGCAGTAAGAGATTCCAGTGCTTTAGTCTGTTCCTTGATAATAGTTTGGAACTTCAGATGCACTTTGCTAACGATTCTGTCTAACGTTTCGTCGCTGACGCCGTCTGCTGCGTCTGCTTGTTGATGTTTACTGCTGCTTCTTGTACTAGCCATGGTTGCCAACTTCTTCCTTGCGCGGAGGTGCCAACTTAATCAGGAGGTTAGAAGGCAGTGCCTGTGGCACCTAACCTGTCTTTTGAACCGTCGGGAGCCGGTGGCCGTCACTTCAAGATTACAGTTTCCAGGTCACAGGCTTGCTTTTCCGCGCAACCTTCACTCGTACAAGGGCACCACACCGTAGTTGACCGACGCCGAAAGTCAAGAGCAGCAGACAGAGCTATTTCATTGTGCAAAATAACTTTAAAAACTGACGACCGACACACACATCTCACTCGTCCGCCATGACAGAGAGAGAGAGAGAGAGAGAGAGAGAGAGAGAGAGAGGGAGAGGGAGAGAGAGAGAGAGAGAGAGAGAGAGAGAGAGAGAGAGAGAGGCCGACGAAGCAGCACTGTTCGTAATCGGCCGGGTGCGCGGGTTGCGACAGCAGCATGTCCGGGGGGCGGGTCGCCGCCGCGCGGGTCTCAGACACGCTGGCTCAAGCAGTTTGGATCCGGCCGCCGCTTTGGCCCGGCAACGCCCCCCCCCCCCCCCTCACCAACCACCCTTCTCCGCTGCCATACGGCCCATTACCGCCCGCTCGGCCCCGGTGCGCCCGGTATGCCCACAAGATGGTCCTGTTTGTCTACGGGGCGCCTCCACGCGCTCCGGCCGCATTCAAACATTATGACGGAAATTCCCACGGCCCAGTTGGCGCGTGATGGTGAGGCGTCGGAGGGCGCAGACACAACAACAAGGCCCCACTTGCGCCGTTTAGCCGGAGTGCCGGGGAGCGACCGGCCTGGCTCGAGGCCCTCTTGTAGCGGAGCGGCGCGCAGTCGGGTCGTTGTCGAGGAGTGCGGCCCTACTTTACACGGAACACGCCCCGTGCCGCCGCCGTGCCGCCGTCGTGTTGCAGTATAAATAACTTTTGCCTGCGGGTGTACCCGCGCGGCACAGTGGGCCAGAAGACCGGTGGAGGCGGTCAGAACTCGAGACGCGTTTTGAGCTCCAGAGTCGCTAAAAAGGATTCGATTCAAACGTGTGACCCCACCAATGGATTCCTCGCTCGGAGAGCAATCCATTGGTGGGGTCACAAGCTCGATTCGACTCCTGTTAAGCGTCTCTGGAGCTCAAAACGCTTCTAGGGTTTTGGCCGCCGGCGCCGGTCTTCTGGCCCACTGTGCGCAGCGGCGGCAGCGAGAATTTCGGTAAACAGAGTATTTCTTATTGCAATTAGCGTTGGCGTGCGCTGCAGGCCGTGCCCGCGCGCGTAAAGTCGGGTAAATGACGGCAGGTGCGATCTTACATCAGTGGCCGCGCACGCCAAGTGCCGCGTTAATTCGAGTAGCCGTTGTATTCGCACGGCCGAGCGTTATTTACAGAGCAGCCGACTGATTCCGAGGGTCCTTTTCCGTCGCTGTGTCTCTCTCGCACTCATGGCGCGTGCCGTGTGGGTGCGAGAGAGACAGAGCGACGAGAAGGGACACGGAATCCGGCCGGGCCGTTGCCGCTGGCTGGGCGGGGCCGCGCGTTGTCGCGTGGGGCACTGCCAGTGCCGCCACACAACCCCCACGCACGCCACCGGCCGGGATGCTAAATCTCGGGCCGCGTTTCCACGCCCTCCCAGCCTTGAAATAAGGGACGAAAAACAACAACAACAAAACTTGGCTTCGTCCAAGGCCGGGCCCCACATTACTACCTGGTGAAGTTCGTCTGTCTAGACCAGCAGACGACACTGCCACTGCCGCCGCGCCGCGCCTCGAAGAATGCCTCGTAAAGTTGCACTCGTAAACCCACTCCCAGCGACTCGCCGTCCATAAAACAAATTAAATCAAATGTGTCGCGCGCTTGAGATATATGGGCCGCCGGACAGCCAAGGACGATGGAGCTGCACTACTCGGGCTGCGAGAGGAAGAGGCGTCAGGGGCGGATCCAGAGCCGGCCTAGAAGGGGTGAAAGCTCACTTTTGGCCTACTCTCAGGGTTAACGTGTGACTGTTCGCCTACCTTTTGAAGGAGCCAGGGGAGTCAATTGTCTTTTTGCCCCCCACTGGATCCGCGCCTGGTTAGACGCCGACGGGCACACAGTGGGCCGGAAAATCGGTGTGGGCGGCCAAAATTCTGGACGCGTTTTGAGCTCCCGAGTCGCTGAGCAGGACTCGAACCGAACTTGTGACCCCACCAATGGATTCCTCGTCCGGAGAGCAATCCATTGGTGGGGTCACACGTTCGGTTTGAGTCCAATTTAGCGACCCTGGAGCTCAAAACGCGTCTAGAGTTTTGGCCGCCTCCACCGGTCTTCTGGCCCACTGTGCATGGCTCTGGCGGCGGAGGAGGGCATGACCCCCCTACGGGTCCCCACGGACGCCCCTGATGAACCGCAGGCCGCCCTCAGCGCGCGCCTCAAAACTTTTTTCCTCGCTCCCTTCGGAATAATTTCCTGCGTGACGCCCCGCCACTGGTTTGATGCGACGACCAATAAGAAAGCGCTTGCTTGGCTAGGCGGCACGCGGCAAACACCCCGAACGCCCAGAACGGACTATGGCTTCCAATTTGCCGGGAGTGGGGCAGGGCGTGGCAGGGCGGGGCGGGGTGGAATGGGGCGGGGTGGGGTGGGGGGGGGTGGGATGGGGCGGGGCGGGGTGGGGTGGGGTGGGGCGGGGGGGGGTGGGGCGGGGCGGGGAGAAGGGAAGGGGACGTCTGCGGCCAACTTTCCTTTGTCGCCGTCTTTTACGGCTCGTTTCCTTTTTTGGGCGCGCCTTTGCGTACCCCGGGCGGGGCGGGGCGGGGTGTGGCAGGGCCCAGACGCGAACAAGGGTCGCCCTGGCGGCTAGGCAGGCAGCCGACGCCGCCAAACGCGCTGGGTCAGCAGGGCCCCATTCTGACCGCACCGCTGCTGCTGCTGCAGGGCAGGGCCTGGCGGCGGTTGCTTTTCGGGGACAGGAGACTGCCGACGAGATGAAAGCGAAGTCGCTCGGATCAACTGGAACTGAAGACGGCCTGCCTGCCTGCCTGCCTGCCTGCCTGCCTGCCGTGGGTGGGGCACGGCGCTACGGCGGCGACTCTCCCTGGTGCGGTGGCCCGTGCCTTCCCTCCCCGTGCCGTGGTCGCACTGTACCGTACTGTACTGTACCGTTGCTGGGCGACCCAGACCGTTCCCCAAAGGGCCGGTATTTCTCGGTATTTCGGCGAGGCGCTCGCTCGCTAAGCTCGAAGCCGCATAGCGCTATTGAACGGGAAGCTGCGCCGATACACCTCATTCAAGAACGTCACTGGTGAGGGGGTATGCCCTCTGGAAACCTTGTGACCCAACTATTACGTTTATTGAGTTGAATGAAGGCTCAAAATTGCCGGGAGCTAGACTTACGACAAAGGTACAAAGTTAGTACCTGGGGCTGCAGCGGCTCTTGCACTGGTAAAACATAGGCACAAAAACTACGCCCCTTTTAGGGCGTAAATCGTTTAGTTCCCTTAGGAAGGGCGTGAATAGTACGAAACTCGTATGCAAAATTTTAATGCCCTTTCAAAGGCATTAGCGATTGGGGCGTAAATCATTTACGCCCTTCGCCCTTAAAGTTTATAATTTTAATGCCTTTGTTTCGCCAGTGTGGAAAAGAAACCTGTTTTTCCAGGGTTTGTCTGGGATTACCTGGTACTGCTTTTGCCGTGCCCTGTGCAAGCAGTCCAAAACATCACAAAATTCGGAGAATTCTGCTATGACACTACTATTACGCACACTATTACGCGTGCTACCGACAGGGCGATCCCACTCTTATCTCGAGAACCCGACGCGCCCAAACAGTGGCTGCTCTGGGCAGCCCTGAGCATCTCGTCGGTGTGAACTTGGGCATGAACGCGCTTTACGCACCGCCGCACTATTTTAGCGGTGTGGCTTGTAGCAAACTTGGCCTCGTTTGTTCCCGCAGGACAGGACACGACTTGGGGCCGATGCAGATTTATATCTCCAACAAGCCCCTCTCCCCCACCCCTCAACCCTGGCCCAATAAATTAATGCTTCGATACGGCGCGCTTGTTGGTGGAGGGAAATGAGGCGGCGGGTTAGGCCGGGGCTGCGGCGAGGCGGCCTCTGCGGTGGTCCGAGAGTCGCGTTTTCGTCGCTCTGTCTCTTTCGCACCTAAAGAGGACGCCCCATGAGTGCGAGAGAGACAGAGCGACGAAAACACGTTTCTCGGAATCAGTCTGTGCTGTGGCCCGCACGGATAGATGCGCCCTTGCTCGTGTTAAGGGGAGGAGATTTCCGGGAGTGCTGCTGCGCGGTGCGCCTCGGCTGCGCTGCGTGCGCCCCGCTTGGGTGCGTGGCGGGCGCAGGCAGGCCGCGCAGAGACTGTACTGGAAGTAGAGCAGCTACACTTATCGGGCCCGTCCGCCCTCAACACGGTGCAATCCACCAAAAACTCTAATAGCTCTGAAGCTCTTTGTCCTCCTTTTCGCAAACCGACTCTAACCAAGCGCCCCCTTGCTTCCTGGTTGCAGGCCAGCTGTTCCACCGCGCCATCCTGATGTCGGGCTCGGCGCTGGCGCCCGGCGCGCTGGTCCGCGACCCCGGCGCGCAGGCCCGCGCCGTGGCCAAGATCGTCAACTGCTCGGACGACGTGCCGTCGCGGTTCCTGCTGGCCTGCCTGCGCGAGCGGCCCCTCTCCGTGCTGCTGGCGGCCGTGGAGGCGGCCAACAAGGACTACGCCGCGGACGACGGCCCGGGGGTCAGCGCCTTCGGCGGCGGCGCCCCCGCGGCCTTCGGCCCCTCCGTCGACGGCGTGGTGATCGATGCCGGCGAGGAGCCCGCCCCCGAGCACCGCCCCTACCCCAACGACAACTCGCGGCAGGTACGGCCGCGCAGTGTGCCTGGTGCCGAAAGGGCGCCTTCGTCCACTGTATTCTTGGAGCGCCTCGAAGTCGGAAGATTTTCAAAGAGAGGGCATACTTGTCGTGGATAGGAGTCAACCCCCACACGGTGGAAACGGTTCCTGGTTTTCCCAGGCAGCCTATGGTAAAGACATAGGCGATTTTCAGGGAGTTTCTAGGGAAACCAGGGACCGTTTTTACCCTGTATGCGGGTGGGCCGAGGGTTGGGCTATGGAGCGTTTGAAAGGACTCTCTCCTCAAATTTTTAGTTAAGAGGGGGGTGAAAGTTCCTCCGGGGCGCTGTCCTACCACTGCATTGTAAAATTCCTTTCGTCACAAATCGGTGAAATTTTAATTTAAACCCTTCTCGTTATTTTGTGGGCAGGACTGCAACGTTTATAACCCAAGGTTTAATGTCGTTCTTGTGAGAAAAATGAGCCTTCAAAGTGTCTTCAAGTGACAACCAAAATTTTCACATTGTAGTGAGATAGCGACTTATTTTGACACCTGTTGACAGCCAGCTCTAACGTAGGCCAGGCTGAAACTGCCCAAGTGCATATTATGCAAGCTGCAAGTCGTAGGCACGTCCACCTCCTTAAATCGTCCCGCCGTGTAACGGAGTTTCCGCTGCAGAATCACCGTAGCGCAGCTGTCGCGTCCACGACCCTGCCCTCCGTTGGCCCTCCACGCCGAAATGCCGTCCTCAGCGGTTCGGCCGCGTGCACCAGGCCGCGGCATGGCACCGCCCCACCCCACCCCTCCCCGCCCCACCCCACCCTGCCTTGAGCTGTGGCCTACCTGTGGCGCCTATGGCACGGCCGGGGCACCGCTGTAACACAACAAGAGGCCCCAGACTAACAACTTGCCCGAGTACCGCGACAAAGTTTTGCAGATTGTATGACTGCCTTCTGTATGTGTTCTTTCTCTCTCTGTCTCTCTGTCTCTCTCTCTCTCTCTCTCTCTCTCTCTCTCTCTCTCTCTCTCTCTCTCTCTCTCTCTCTCTCTCTCTCTCTCTCTCTCTCTCTCTCTCTCTCTCTCTGGCAACCTCCGGCCTTCGCGCCGCGGCCGCCCTATCTCTCACTTTCTCCCTCTTCACTCTCTGGCGTGAGTCTTGCTTTTGTTTTATACACCCACGCCCTTTCCGCTCCCCTCCCCCCTCCCCCCAGCCCAGGTGCCCCGGTGTCGTCCCGCTTGTGGAACCCTTCGGCCTGGACAAACGGTGCGCGTGCGACGACGCAGAGAGAGAGAGAGAGAGAGAGAGAGAGAGAGAGAGAGAGAGGAGAGGAGAGAGAGAGAGAGATAAAAGGGGAACGGACGGCCGGCGGCAGGTGCACCGGGGCCAAGTGGCGCCCTAAATAATCTGCCGAGGGAGGCGCGGCCGAGCCAACGCGTCCAGCTGCACCCACTTACGGTGTGCTTACCGCCACGCAATTAAAAAGCCCTGACGAAAAAAAGAATAAAAATCAGGCAGCTTTTTATCATTGATTGCGACTTCATTACTACAACCACCGGTCTGCTTCGGTCCCGGTCAGGTGCGTCGAGATTCCCACCACCGTGGAACGGAGGTGTGCGAGAGAGAGAGAGAGAGAGAGAGAGAGAGAGAGAGGGGGGGGGGGAGAAAGGGGGGTGGAAAGAGCTAATCGAGTCTCCCAGGCATTAGCTATTCCCTCCGCGGTCCGACGATGGAAGGTCGCAGCAGAAGAAACTCCTCGCTGTGGTTTCAGGTTTCGGGTAGCGTGGCGGCCGCGGGGCAAAAATTTAACGCGGGGCAAATTTCTCACGCCATTAGCTTGATCTATGTCCGACTCAGGAAACGCGTCTATCAATTTTTTTTTTTTTCGTTTTCATTGATTCTTTTTATTTAATTCGGTGGGCGTGTGTAAACATTTTAAGTGTCCCGCAAAGAGACGGCCGATCCATCTAGATGGCGTGCGCGGCGCGCGGGGTTGCGGGCACTGCTCGAACGCCATACGAAATGAGTTTGGAAGTACTTCGGTGGCCATCAGTATCCTGCCCCGAGAAATATTCAAAGAAAGGGAGGAGGGAAATAAAATAAAGAGGAGGCAGCAGAAAAAATAATGAAAATGATTCAGAGCAAAGAAGGATGTCAGAGGGAGGGGGAAGGGGTCATTGGGGGAGCGAGCAGCAAAGGGAAAGTTGCGTTTGAAATCCAAGCGGGTGGGTCAAGGCGCAGCAGTGCCCGGCTCGGCGCGGCCGGACGAATCAAACTTTGTCGCGAGACTGTCTTCCACACATTGAACTCCCGTCTGCGCTCGCGGCCGAGGCTCTGAAGGCCAAGGCCTCAGAGGGGACGGACGCCATCACGAATCAATCGACGCTTCAAAGTTGGCCGAGCCGGGCGGACAGCCCGTTGCAATATTCCGTTTCGGGAGAAAACAGCAACAAACCTTTTTCGCCTTTTTTTCCCCCACCGACTGCCAGACAGTTGAATTTCTGGCTATCCTGAGAACAATCGTTTTATCCCCGTCCCGGAGAAGTTAATTGGTGGGTGCATGCACGCAGCGGTGACAAAGGGACCAATCCAAACAAGTCGGACGGGACAAACCGCTTCTTGGAATCGTGGCTCGAATCGGAGGTTGGACTAATAATCCAACAAAGCGTTTTCCCCGAAACAACTCGACCGACTGATCCACGAAGCGACCGGCGGAGCACAAAGGGTGCGGCGCGGCGGGCACTGCGGCGCTGACAGGGACGCAGCTCTCTGCATAAAAAGTAGAGTCTAGGTTGGCCGCTCAGCGCCGCTCAGCCAGACGCTGGCCAGCCAGGGCGGATCCAGGGACGAGGTCATGGCGGGTGGGGGGGGGGGGGGCATGTCGTGAAAGTTGCCTACTTACTGGGGCAAAGTGCGACCCTTTTCCCGCACTCTGTCTGTCTGTCTGTCTGTCTGTCTGTCCCTTTTCTCCCCTTTTTCTTCTTCTTTCTCTCTCTCTTCCTCTCTCTCTCTCTCCCCCTCTCTCTCTCTCTCTCTCTCTCTCTCTCTCTCTCTCTCGGACTCTTGCCTGCTGGCCAGGAGGCACCGGCCGACACTGCCGCGCAGTCCCAGCCGTTCGATTTAGCATATCCTGCCTCCTGCCACAACGCCACGCAACGCCACTTCCCCGGGTTGTTGCCGGCCTGCTTCACGGAGGGGGCCTTCTTGGTGTCGGCAGGTCACCGGCCGCGGCGCCACCAGCGGGCTGGGCTCGGCGTCGGCGGTCATGAGCCGGGCGGGCATCAGCCGGCGCCTGCCCATGCCGGGCGCGCTGCCGGGCGTAGGCATGGGGCTGGGCCTGGGCGGCGCCGGCCTGGCGGGGCTCACGGCGGACCCCGTGCTGGACCTGGTGCTGCGCAAGGCCGTGGCCGCCAAGCTATCGCGCTACGCGCTGCTGTGCGGCGTGGTGCGCGCCGAGGCCTTCCTCGCCTTCTCCTCGGCCGACGAGCAGTTCGGCCTGGAGGCCGACCGCCGCACCAGGATCCTGAGGGACTTCGTCAGGAACACGTACAGGTGAGACTCGGTGAACAAAAATTGCATGAGAAAATAGACTTTCTTGAGGTGATAGACTCCAGTCAATAGGCTGCTTTCGATGGGGATCGTCCACGTTTTACGTAACCTTTATTATAGCTGTATCCTTGTTGCTTCTAATGGCGTTCTCTTGATTAGCGAGTGCGAGAGATACAGAGGGCGTTACGTAATATGCGGCTGAAACCTAGCTGAAACTGAAAATCCGACACCTACAACCTGAAGCTCGGCTACGACCGGGCACTTGTGCGGCGACAGCAACCCGGAACTTGCTTGTTGGCTTGTCCTCCTACAAGACGTGTCCGGTAGTGGCTGCCTCTCTGGTAGTCGTAGTCCCACCTCTGGTTGTGGTTGCCGGAGTTTCGGCTGCAGCTATCGAATTTAGACTGTCGAATAAAGTTGATAACCGCAAGCAATTTTAATTTTTTGTGCCATTTTTAATTGCACTTTATGGAAGGACACCATCTTGATTGTGCGCAGGTACCACCGCTCCGAGATCCTGGCCACGATCCTGAACGAGTACACGGACTGGGAGCGGCCCGTGCAGCACCCCGTCAACCTCCGCGACGAGACCCTGGAGGCGCTGTCCGACGCGCAGGTCGTGGCGCCCGTCGTGCTCACCGCCGACGTGCACTCGTCCACCGCCTCCAACAAGTCCTTCCTCTACGTGTTCGACTACCAGACCAAGAACGGCGACTACCAGCAGGTGGGTCACTACACTGATAAACAGTGCGCCTTATTCGTGAGGCGTGAAGTCTGCCTATTCTTGCAGCGTGCTAGAGCCCATGCGCCTTACGCTCCCTTGCAGCGTGGTTGCACGCAGTGCCAATTACTGCCTACCTTTCAGTCGGCTTAGTAGGCTTCACTGCCCCAGCAGACTGATTCCGAGAGTCGTTTTCGTCGCTCTGTCCCCCTCGCTCTCACGGGGCGCCCTGAGTAGGTGCGAGAGAGACAGGGCGACGGAAATGACTCTCGGAATCAGTCTGCAGGGGGTGGGGGGCGATGCCCCTCTCGCCTCCGCCTAGATCCGCACCGGGTTGGAAAAGGGAGAGGGGGAGGGGAGTCTTCTGACGCGATTCGCGCGTGTCAAGTTAAAAGCGAGTCGCTGAGACAGACTGGGAGTAAAACGAGCCGCCCGCGGCGACTGCTGCGAGGACGGGGAACGCAGCCAGGTGGAGTGGCGAGTGTCGCTGACTGGCAAAGTACCCGCGCAGCCGACACCTCAGCGATTTAATTTAAGCCCGAGGGTCGCGGACGTCTCCTCGCGGACTCCGTCGCTCGTTGCGCGTCGCCGAACCCGGCCACTGGGTGTCCTCCGGTTGACGGGAGGTCCAAAGGGGTTTTCTTCTTCCTCTCCGCGCCCCGAATGACACTCTGAAAGACCTTAACGTTAGACCGAAACCGTACTTTCTCCCTGGTGATCGGCAAAAAGCTATTTGAGCCTCTTGTATGTAGGCAAAAAATTCTATTTGGCCTCGTGTCAGTGAGCAAAAATCTACACTTTTCCCCTCTAAGTGTGCAAAAAGCCATACTTTTCCCCTGTAAGTAGGCAAAAAGGGTTTCTAAGTCCGCCTCTGAATCCGCCACTGAGTGACACGGACATTGTGATGGCACCTTGCACCCGCTGCCAGTGCTTCCCGTGCGCCAGTGCTTCTAGTGTGCCAGTGCTCTGCCAGTGCTTCCGGTGTGCCAGTGCTCTGCCAGTGCTTCCAGTGTGCCAGTGCTTCCAGTGTGCCAGTGCTCTGCCAGTGCTTCCAGTGTGCCAGTGCTCTGCCAGTGCTTCCAGTGTGCCAGTGCTCTGCCAGTGCTTCCAGTGTGCCAGTGCTCTGCCAGTGCTTCCAGTGTGCCAGTGCTCTGCCAGTGCTTCCAGTGTGCCAGTACTCTGCCAGTGCTTCCAGTGTACTATACCGCTCTGACAGAGTGCTCTGCCAGTGTGCCAGTGCTTCCAGTGCCGCCAACCCGGCCGGCCGATAAGGTCGCGGGGATTCAATCCGGCCGGCTTACTCACCTGGCGGCCCGGCAGGCTGGCCGTCCGGCGCGGCGAGCGGCGCTCGTAAATTCTCATCGGAATCGGATGCAAATGGACGAGGCCAGCGAACGGTCGTTGGAAACAGGTTATGGCCACTTTGGCGGGCGGCACTGTCACAAACAGGCGCACTCTCGGCCCGGCGTTCAAAGCTCAAAGGCCGCGGCGCACAGTGGGCCAGAAACCGGCGGAGGCGGCCAAAATTCTGGACGCGTTTCTAGACGCGTTCTAGACGCGGCACTAAACAGGACTCGAACCGACCGTGTGACCGCACCAATGGGTTCCTCTTTCGGAGAGCAATCCACTAGAGGCGCCCTAAATTCTAAACGCGTTTCGAGCTCCAGAGTCGCTAAATGTGACTCGAACCGGACGTGTGACCCCCACCAATGGATTGCTCTCCGAACGAGGAATCGATTGGTGGGGTCACTCGCCCGGTTCGAGTCCTGTTTAGCAGCTCTGCAGCTCAAAACGAGTCTAGAATTTCGGCCGCCTTCGTCGGTCTTCTGGACCACTGTGTTCTGGTGGCGCGGATGGCACGCTGTGGCAACGGCTGCGCAGTGGACCTCGACCTGCATTAATGGTGTGCTGCCCCTTATCGCCTCCAAATTAACCTCGCCAATGTCATTCCGAGTCGTTGAAACTTTTAATTGGAATAACTAATGGCCACGATAATGAAGGGCTGTGGAAAGCCCGGCCTGCCTAACCTTGACCACCGATATTAAATTGCCTCTCGGCGCGCGAGCGCGCCAGGCCTGCCAGCGCGCCCGTCCAACCCCTTCCCCCGCCCCGAACCATGTTTACGTTTTAAACGTGCCGCGTCTTCATTGATTTTTCATCCGTGATTTGTTCAGCTGAGCCGGTGCCCCACGTCCCACCCTGGGGGGAGGCAAGACGGACGACCGCCACACTGGTTCCTCTGTCTCTCTCGCACCCGTCCGCGGCGCCCTGCGAGTGCGAGAGAGACGGGGCACTGTTTTGGCAGGCAGGCTGCGGGCCGCTCCTCCATACGGCCCCCATTCGTCACCTCCTCCCGCACGGCCCGCCTCCCTCCGGACATATTCAGTGTCTGACACGTCTGCCCCCCCCCCTTTCCCCTTATCCCACGCTGTCCTCGGGCGGAGAACGCCGCGGGGCTATACCGTAAACATGCTGACGGAAGTTTGCGTAAAGTTGCGGTCAAGAAGTTTAGCCCGTAAACATTGCTGCGCCGCACTTGCTGCTGGGGAATCCCAGTTGTTCAAATTTGCCGCGCGGGTTCGCGGCGTACTTAAATTAAGCGTCAAAACGGCCGTCGGCTGGTTTTACGCTGCGCGCGTCAAAATGTTTTGGCAGGCTGTTTTCTCGTTCGTGTTTTTTTCTGCAAGCGGTTCGATTTTGATGTGCCTCGCCTCTGTGTCCCGTTCAGCGCCAAGGCTGCATCCACGGCGAGGAGATGGCCTACGTCCTGGGCGCGCCCCTGTCCGCCGGCCTGAGGCACTCGCACCTCCCCAGGAACTTCACCAAGTCCGAGGCCATGCTGTCCGAGGCCACCATGAACTACTGGATCAACTTCGCCCGGACGGGGTGAGTGTTCTTTTTGTTCTTCTTGTTGTTGTTGTTGTTGTTGTTGTTGTTTTTTTTTTTCAGCCCTGGCCGTTCTGAGGCGGATGCAGGGGCTCTCTTCTGGAAACGGAGCTCGCTGGCTTTCTTTCGCGTTGCGCACTTTGAAACGGGGAGCGCAGCTCGAACGTTCACTGCAAAAAAAAAGTCTGTGGTTTTGTACGGAAAATGAGGCACGGGAAAAGTACGCACCTTCCGTACTGGTTGTCCGCATAAGAATCTCACGTAACGCAAACTGAATGGTTCGAAAAAATGTGTGGGGTTCCTCAATAGTTGGCAAGGGACAGACCAAGGGACAGGTAATTAATTGACCATACATGTTTCGCAGTTTTTCTGTGCGCTTTTTTCCACCAGTGTTGTTTCCAAAACACAGACGAAGCCGGAGAGCAAGGCTCGAGACAACGAGCGGCATCGCCCCCCTCAAAGTAGTGGATGTTGGCTGTGGAATTAGAACGGAGATGGCGGTGTGATTTCACAGAGCGGCAGACTGATGCCGAGAGTCGTGTTGATCGCACGGCCCCTCTCGCACTCATGGGGCGTGCCGTGTGGGTGCGAGAGAGACAGAGCGACGAATCTCGGAATCAGTCTGCAGGCAGCCGTCTGAGCGCGATGCCCTCGCCGACCCCAACCACCGCAGCATGCAATATGCACGACTCCGACACTCCCGAAATCCGGCCGCCCCCAAGGCCGCCCCTCCCCCACCCCACGCGCTACAGTGCACCCATCCTGCTGAGTCGCATCCGCCGCCTTTCCCTGCAGACTGGTTACGAGAGTCGTTCTCGTCGCTCTGTGTCTCTCGCACCCACACGGAAAGCCCAATGAGTGCGAGAGAGACAGAGTGACGAAAACGACTCTGGGATTCAGTCCGCTGCGTCCCTTCGTCCTCAAGCGTTCTCTTCGCCATTTCGTGTTTTCCCCGTGCAGCCGCTGCGTGGAAACCTGACGCGGCGATCTCGCGCACTTCCGCTATCGACGCCATTACTGGTCCCTGGACGTCGGCTTTGCTCTGTGACTGCTCAGCGCCCTGTACGCAAAACTGCAACGTGTGCTCGTTTTTTCCTCTCTTTTTTCTCAGCAACGCGTAGAACGAGTGAAAACGACAGTCGAAAGTTATTCCTGATTATTCTGATTTCTTTCTTTCGATTGTGGTCGCCCCTTCTTTTCACCCTCGTCCCCCCCCCCCCCGGCCTCCCCTCCCTCCCCCTCCCCTCCCTCCCCTCGTCCGAAGTCATCGAACGGCGCGACTCCGGAAGTGAAGGTCGTGCACCTTCGCTCCATTTTTCTTCCCGTTTCTTCTCGGAGCACGCAAGCCGCGCAAGCCCCGGCCCCTTTTACTCTCATTCACTTCCCCTGCTTACATTATTCTCTCTCGCTCTCGCCCGCGGGCTATGACGACGCCTGGGTGCAAAGTTGATAGGAAAAAAAAAAGTGCGAAAATTGTATGTATTTCGTTGCGGGGCCCCCGATAATCCGGTAACGTCGATAAAAGTCGATAAACAGGTGCGAAAATTGAATGTGTTTGGTTGCAGGATCCCAATAATCCGGTGCAGTCGATTTAAAAAGGGCTGAAATTGAGTGTATTCAGTTGCAGTGTAGGACCCCCAATAATCCGGTAACGTCGATAAAAGAAAAACTGCGCAAATTGAATGTGCTTGGTTGCAGAACCCCGATTGCAGTCGATGAAAAATGGGCGAAATATGAGCGATTTTTTTGGTTGCAGTGCAGGACGTCCCAAAAAATGGTGAAATTGATAAAGACCGATTAAAAAAATGTGTTAAAGTTGACTGTTTTTTTTATTTTAGGACGCCGAACGACCCGGTGGAGCCGGCGAGAGGGGGCCGCCACCGCAGCCTGGAGTGGCCGCCGTACGAGAGCATGCACAACAAGTACATCGTGCTGGGTGAGGCGACAGCTGATGCGACACTGTAGTGATTGATTGCGAGTGGGGGAAAGACCGGGGGGCAAACAACTTCGTCAAAATTTGTGCACCTTTATTTCAAATTCACGTTATTTCATTGTTATTTGCACGTTATTTCAAGGGTATTTTCATGTTATTTCACGTTATTTCGCGTTACTTCACCGTTATTTCAACATTATTTCACCGTTATGTTACGTAATTTCACCGTTATTTCTGGGAAAATGTACACCAAAATTCAAGTTGTTTGCCCCTCGAGAATGACCGACTGGTAGAAAACGTGTTCAAAACTTGCTTCCTTCAAATGTAGATCCCCGTTCTAGTGTTCTCCCGCCTGTCTAAATGCATGAGGGATTTTTTTTCTCTGCGCTTGACTTAAAGCGTAAAGTCTCCGAGCGTCTTTGTTAGCTTGCATGAAAGGTTAAGCTTCCGTTTCACCAGTAGTGCCGCGGTCTGTGTGTCGGCGCTCCTCTGCCTCCGTCTCGCCAGCCCGAGCGCCTGTCGTCGCGAGGTTAGGCAGCCCGCCGCGCCGCCGTGCGCCGCCCTGCCGCTGCGAAGCCTACCCCGCAGGCGCTCTCGGCTCTCGGCCTGTCCGTTCTCGCTCCGGTTGACGCTGTTTGCTTCTTCTCGCGGACCGCGCTGCCGGCGGGACCATTCCGAACTCGTCGCTCTGTCTCTCTCGCACTCACGGGGCGTCCCGTGGGAGTGCGAGAGAGACAGAGCGACGACGGCACGGCTCGGAAGCAGCCGCTTGGTGCAAGACGTAGGAATGGGTCTGGCGAGAGTGCGCGACCTGCAGGCTGATTCCGGACACGTCTTCCTCGCTCTGTCTCTCTCGCACTAGAGAGAGAGAGAGAGAGAGAGAGAGAGAGAGAGAGAGAGAGAGAGAGAGAGAGAGAGAGAGAGGAGAGAGAGAGCACTGGTCGGAATCTGGCCGCCGGCATTCATCCCGCCTCACTTTGGTGTGTCCGCGGTGGCCCTGCATGTGCCCCTCAAAGTAGGTCGGGCGCGTCGCCGCGTCCGGGACGCTGGCCTGCCGGTGCCTTCCCCGCCACGATGCGCCGAGGCCGAGGCCGTGATCGAGCGCGCACCGCTGCGCGTCAAAGCGAGCTTCTCAAAGCCCGGTGTAAACTTGGTACACCTCCCAGCCTCAGCTCGGGCTCGGGCTGGCAGAAGTTTCACACGAAGCACTCAAATTGCACCGGGAGGGGCGAGCGTGTGTCCACTGCGAATGAAAGAGTCATGGTCGGGTACCGGCGAGTTAGACTTTTACCACTCAAATTTTGGTAAGGTTTATGTCGTCACCCAAAGTCGGGTATGAACGTTTTTATCGCCCAATTTTGGGGCATCAAAGCATTCCGTGCCCAAAATTCTAGTCGTGAGTCTCTCATTACCAACATCCTCATTGATCGAAGCATTTTCATCACTCTCAGAGTAGCTTCCGTCTTTCTGTCTGTTAAAAATCTGTCTAGATGTTTGTGTGTCTTCCTGTGTGTCTGTCTGTGTCCATGTCCGCCCGCCTGTCTGTGTGTCTGGAATGTGGTTGTGTGCGTGTCTGTGTGAGTGTGTCTGCGTGTTTTGTTGTACAGCCGGCGGTGCTGCCCTTCCGCCCGCTTCTCTTTCACACTCTCCTCTCTCTCTCTCTCTCCTCTCTCTCTCTCTCCCCCCCCCCCGGGGGCCTCGCACATACCTCGGCGTTCAAAGGTCGAACCGCTCGTCTGTGGAGTCGTAAGGAGTGGCGCTCGCTGTCCACAGGCAGGCCGGCGTCTCCATTCTGTCTGCGCCGCTCCAGGCAGGCCCTGCAAGGCCCCCTGGAAGGTCCTGGAAGGTCCTGGAAGGCCCTGGAAGGTCCTGGAATGCCGCAATGCCCCTCTGTCCTGCCTGCACGGCCGGGCTCGGCCCGGCACGGCCCTAGTCTCATATACTTGGGGCGTCACGGCTGCCTTCTGGCTTCTACAAACACCGCACCCTCCCTCCCCCTCCCACCCCTCCCGCGGCCTTTGTTTACAGAAAAGAGGAAAAAAAAGAGGAACGGGCCGAGCGAGACCTGCCAACTGTTGGCAAAGTGTGTTCATGTGTGTGTGCGTGGGCGTACGTGCGTGTGTGCGACCGGGCGTGTAGTGTGGTTGCCAACATCACGACCGCCGAACATTCGTTGCGTTGAAAAGTATCCGATGTAGGGGGCGCTGTGTGTGTGTGTGTGTGTGTATGTGTGTGTGTGTGTGTGTGTGTGTGTGGGCGTGCTGCTTTGTGTGTGTGCAGCCGGAGAATCCCCTTCCGGCCTTTTCTATCGGCGATGTGTGACAAATCCGGAAACAAACAGCAGATTGCCGGGGCCGGCTTCGCAAAGCTCCGCCGGGCTTCCGTCTACTTTCCCTGTCTCCCTCCTTTCGCCCCCTCCTCTCGCTGCAGACTGATTCCGAGAGTCGTTTCCGTCGCTCTGTCTCTCTCGCACTCATGGGGCGTCCCGCGTGGGTGCGAGAGAGACAGAGCGAGACTCTCGGAATCAGTCTGCTGCTGTGGCGGCGCTCTAACGAGACTTGTCTGCGCAGAGCCCAAGCCGCGGATCAAGAGCCACTACCGCGCGCACCGCCTGTCGTTCTGGCTGCACCTGGTGCCCGAGCTCCACCGGCCCGGCGGCGACCTGGTGCCCATCGGACACCACCAGCTGCCCGGCGACCCGGTGCCCGCCGAGCCGCCGCCGGACACCGCGCACCATGGCGTCGTGGAGGTGGGGCGGCCGGCGCGCCCCGCGCACCCGCAGCAGCCGGCGCCCGCCAACGCGACCAAGTGAGCCAGGCTGACGCCGTCGCCGTGCCGCCTGAGGCCTTGCCCGCGGCAGCGGGTGTGTCCAGGGAGCGGGGAACCCGCCTCAGACCGTTGTTTTCGTCGCTCTGTCTCTCTCGCACCCAAACAGGACGCCCTATGAGTGCGAGAGAGACAGAGCGACGAAAACGACTCTCGGAGTCAGTCTGCTGAGCGGGCGTTTCTTGTCGGCAGGGACGCCAACGTGACGGCCGTGGTCTCGGACGGCAAGGCGGCCAACAAGGGCGTGGTGCACCAGCAGGTGGTGCCGGGCACGGGGGAGGGCGCCGCGGGCATCCCGCCCCCCGCCCCCGACCCCACGCCCGCCGTGGCCGGCGACGACAGCGGCTTCGCGGCCTACTCCACGGCGCTGTCCGCCACCGTGGCCATCGGCTGCTCGCTGCTGCTGCTCAACGTGCTGGTCTTCGCCTGCGTCTACCACCAGCGGGAGAAGGTGAGTCGCCCACAAGTCTAGTTTGGCCACTTTACAGTGGCGTGCGCAGAAATTTTGAAAAGAGGGGGGGGGGCATTTGCACTTACTGGGGAAAAGTGACGCAATTTGCCTACCTTCCCGGCAGCTGCCTAGTGCCTAGTGGACAAAGGGGGGTCATGAACCCCTATTGAAAATTCGAAAATTCATTCAAAACCCTTGGAAATGGAACCACGGATGTCAAGGCGGCACTTTTACCGAGCGAAGCGGGTCGAGAGGCGAGTACCCTCAGCGTGCGCGGTGCGGCGGCCCGCCGGCTGGCTGCTTCCGAAATGCTGCGGCCGTCTGCTGTCTCTCTCGCGCCCTCGCGGGACAGTCCGTGAGTGCGAGAGAGACAGAGCGACGAGGGTTCCGGAATGCGCGCCGCTAAAAGCGCCGCTGTTTTTCGCCGAGGGCGTCTCGTTAGCGAGGCGGTAGGCGCGTGGCGCCGTGAGGGATGACGCGTCGACTGCAGCAGGGCAGCCTCGCTCTGAAGGCCCTCGCTCCGTCTCTCTCGCACTCGCGGCGCGCTCCGTAGGGGTGCGAGAGAGACAGAGCGACCAGAACCTCCTTCTGAGTGAGGCGGCGGGGCATGCGGAAGGCTCGCAGGGTTACAGGGCGCGTCAAGGACTCCCCGGGGGGTGAAATATAACGGGTTGTTCGCCACCTGTCGCTTGGTATGACACGGGCAGGACTGCCAACTGCCAGGCGGGTTCCGCCCCGCGTTTTTGGCGCTCTCGTCGCCACCTGCCTCTCAATGCAGCCAACCTCGCGCGAAATGCTGGATGCGGTGCGGGAGAGATCCAGCAAGGCGCTTGCCAGCGCCATCTGGCTGACTCGGAACAGAAGCGCTTCGTCGCCGCGTCTCTCCATCTCGCTCCCTCTTTCGGCACGGCCCGTGAGTGCGAGAGAGCGCTGTTTGGATTCAGTCTGCCGGCAGGGATGGCGTTATGCGCTCCAGCAATGAACTGTCTCGGAATGAAAGCTTGAACGTGTATCCGTCCGAGCAAATTGTTTTTTTATTTTTTTTATTTTTTTAAAAATGGTAAACAAACTCTAGCCAAATTTGTACGCCGATATTCATTAAACTTGTAAAATTCACCGAAATTCATTAAAACCGAGGGGGCCACCACCCCCGTAATCCTGTGTACAAGTTTGCTGGTAATCTCTGGTAATCCATGGCGTAATCACGTAATCCTTGACAAAATTCTGTAATTTTTCAACGTTTTTGAGTCATTTTCCAACGTTTTCGAGCTATTTTTCAACCTTTTCGAACCAATTTTTGAAAATTTCACGCGTAATCCCTAAAATATCCCGTAACCCCGTAATCTTGTGTACGCCTGAAATGAGAGTGGTGGGCCCCTCGATTAAAACTCATCGAAATTTGACTGAAATCCATCTTATTTGTACATCGAAATTCACAGTGATTTCCCCTTGTGGAAATCACTCTGACCGAGAAAAAGAACGTGCACGTAGGGAGGCGGGAAAAGTGTAGAGCAGATGAGCAGAGAAATAAATATGGCCCCGACGGCTTTAAAATCCTTGATGACCGCCTGCCGAAACATTTCGTCGTTCCTGGAAACCCCTCCCAGAGGCGAAGCGAGGAGCGGTCCGATATGGGTAGATGCGCTTTACTCGCTCGGAATGATTTACCGTCGGGTCAACACGCTACGGCTGCCGCTACACCGCGAAAGAAAAAAACAAAATCAGAAAACGCGACCGCCAAAAAGAAAAACACGCTCGCTTATTTCAACTTTGACTTTTTCTCCGCGTAAATTGGAGCAGCGGCCTCGTTGGGCGCGGAGACACGATGCCGGGCCTCCCGGTCGCCGTCCGCGCTGCTGGTTTAGGAAGCGGAGGTGGCGACGGTCGACCAGAGGCCCGGCCAGGGGCGTCCGGAGCGGCCCCGGCCCGAAGCCCGTCCACCGCACTGTGGCTTGCCCTGCTTGCCTGGCTTGCCGGCGTCCCCCTCAGCCGATCCCCGGCGACTCGTCCCGCGTCCCGGCCAAGTCGCCGCCAAACAAGAAACTCAATCGGGGCATAGTTGACCTCGACTTTTCATTCCGGACTCGTCGGCTGCGGTCGGGGACCGCCCCCTCCTCCCCCCCCCCTCTTCCTCCTCCGCCGTCGTTCTCTGGGGAAAATTGAACGTTAATCGGGCAATTCCGCCGGCCGGGCTTCGGGTGCTGCAGCGTCCACCCTGTTCGGCCACTTATCTCTCTCCCAGGGGGCAGGGCGTGAGATCACTCTTTCCGAAGGCTGCTGCTGCTGCTTGCTGCGCTCCGGAACGGCAGCGCAGAAAAAGGAGGTTGGCCCGGAAAATATCGGGAGACCACTGGGAAATTTCGAAGACGTGGTTTGTGTGAAGGCACTGTAAAATTTAAAGAAATGGATTGTGTGGAGGGAGAGCACCGAAATAAATTAAATCAATGATTTGTTTCCAGAGCACTGAAAAATTGAAAGAAATGGTTTGTTCAGAGAGCACTGAAAAATTGAAAGAAATGGTTTGTTCAGAGAGCACTGAAAAATAGAAAGAAATGGTTTGTTCAATGGTTTGTTCAGAGAGCACTGAAAAATTGAAAGAAATGGTTTGTTCAGAGAGGCCTTCCAAATTTAAAGAAATAGATTGTTTGAAGAGCACTGGAAAAAAATTCTTAAAAAAATAATTTTGTTTCGAGAACACTGCAAAATTAAAAAAAAAAATGGTTTGTTTAGAGAGCGCGGCAAAAGTGAAAAAAAAAATGAATGGTTTAGTGAGGGAGCGCTGTAAAAATTTTAGAGAATAAGGGGTTGGTGCATTCTTTGTTAGAACGCGTGATTTTGAGCAAGTGCTATAAATAGTATGAAGATGTAACTCTTGCGAAAAACAGAAGTATACATTTATCAAACTTTATAAACGTCTTTGTTTTTTTTTAGAAATGTTTCATCCACGCGCGCGTTGTTAAGTCGAAAAGCGAGGGATTTTTCCCTCGGAGGCGAAAACTTTCCTGGTCCCGGCGGCACCGCCGGCCACACGGGGGCGGCGACGCTGTCCGACCAGATCTCGTCCGTGCAAATTCGTTTTCTTGTCGCCGCCTCTCTCTCCCCCCTCCCCCCCCCCTCCCCTCTTCCGGGCTTTCAGGTTCAACCTGACGGAAGGGCGACGGCGGCGTCGCCACCGCTCCGCGCTCCGCCGTGGCACTTGTCAATAGAGGGATTGTTCCCTCGGACCCAGACATGGCTGGCACACCAATTTGGACCGGTAGCCTCCTGTCGAGGCGCGAGGGGAAGGGAAGGGGGCTCCTGCGACGACACTGTCTATTGAGTGAAACATCTGGCCCGCTTCTCTATGGAAAAAATAGGAGGGAAGTAAGTGCGCGCGAAGTCTGTCTCAGGTGCCACGTGGCGGGGCGTGGCGGGACGGGGTGGGTTGAGGTGCGGCGGGGCGAGGCGGGGTGGAGTAGGATCGGCCCGGCCTATGGCCTGCCGGGCCTGCCGCCGCCACCGTACGGCGCGCTCGAGGCCCTGGCCGAAAACGCCTATTACCTTTCCAGCAGCAGTTCTCTCTCTCTCTCTCTCTCTCTCTCTCTCTCTCTCGGCCCGACTAATGACTGAACCAAGGAGAGAATAATTGCTCAGGGGGCTCGCTCGCTTCCCCGGGTAGCGAAAAGGGTACGCAGGGTTGCGCGTAGTGGTGCTAATTCACGTTGTGAGGCCCTCCTCCTTCTGGGGTACCCGCGCTCTCTCTCTCTCTCTCTCTCTCTCTCTCTCTCTCTCTCTCACCCACTCACTCACACAGGCACCAGGAATTTTCCTCCTTTTTCAGGGCCGTGATTTGCAGTAACGAGATGTGCCGCACTGGGGCCAGAAGGCCAGCGCCGGCGGTCAAAACTCTAGACGCGTTTTGAGCTCCAGAGTCGCTTAATGGCACTCGAACCGAACGCGGGACCCCACCAATGGATTCCTCGTTCGGGGAGCAATCCATTGGTGGAGTCACACGTTTGGTTCGAGTGCCATTAAGCGACTCTGGAGCTCAAAACGCGTCCGGGATGTTGGCTGCCTCCACCGTTCTTCTGGCCCACTGTGTGCCGTTCCGTGTCGCCGTTTGGGCGCCGTGCGTGGAAAAAGGCGGCCGACCCGCACCTTTCCCTCACTTTTTGAAGCGCTCGAGTGGGGGGTGGCATTAGCATGTCGATTCCTGACAATCACTTTGACGAGACGGCAGTGCGAGAGAGACAGGGCGACGCCAGACGTAGGCGAGCGACGAGAGAGAGAGAGAGAGAGAGAGAGAGAGAGAGAGAGAGAGAGAGAGAGAGAGAGAGAGAGAGAGAGAGAGAGAGAGAGAGAGAGAGAGAGAGGGGCAGAGAGAGACGGGGTGACGCGAGACGTCAGTGAGTGCCATCAGCGTCGTCCTCCCCCAAGTTCCCCTCACGGAGTCGGCGGCGCCGGTCTGTGGACTGGTTGCCAATATCGCCGCTCTGTCTCTCTCGCACTCTTAGGCGCGTTGCTGGCGTGAAAGAGAGAGAGAGAGAGAGAGAGAGAGAGAGAGAGAGAGAGAGAGAGAGAGAGAGAGAGAGAGAGAGAGAGAGAGAGAGAGCGACTCGGAAGCGGCCTGCCGGAGCGCGCGCGTCCCATCCCAATTCCGGAGACAAAGTGAGGCTCGTTCGGGAGGAAGTTCACGCGGCCCGGCGTGGCGTAGCCGGCGTGGCGCTGTAACACCTGGTAATCAATACAACTTCCTTTTTGCTTCCCGCGGTCGGCCGCAATCACGACCGGCAGGCTCGCTCTGTCTCTCTCGCACTCGGCGGGCGCTCCGGAGTGGTGAGAGAGAGAGAGAGAGAGAGAGAGAGAGAGAGAGAGAGAGAGAGAGAGAGAGAGAGAGAGAGCGACCAAGCGACGAAGCTAAGCTAAGGCGACGGCCAGTGAGTTCGCCCCCGCCGGCCGCCAGTGTGCCTGCCACCGTGACCCGGCCACTGTGCGCAAAGATCCTTCAAAAATCAAAGGCAGAAAAATCAAGGTCCAAGAATTTGGCGGGTAAATACGTAAAGCCACCATTGTAGGCATGGCCGTTTACGGTGCACTGGCCGCACAAAGCCTGGAATTTCGTTACCGCCCCTTCGAGGCTCACGGCAGCAGACTGACTCCGAGAGTCGTTTTCGTCGCTCTGTCTCTGTCGCTGTGCGGGCCGCCCCATGAGTGCGAGAGAGTCTGCTGGGCACGGAGGCCCTGCCGCACTGCCTCCTCCGTTGACTGATTTATGCCCGCGCTTCGGCCGCGCGTTTCACCGGCACCAACCGACGGACGGCCCCGCTGTGAGCCTCACGGTGTGCCCGCCGTGCGCCTGCACTGGTAGAAAAAAAAAACTCTACGGAGAATGCTGTTAATTTTCATGCAGCCTTTAGGTAGTCCTCAATTTCCTTTAGCGCCTGGAGTTTTGATATCTGCTCCCAGTGCAGGTGCAGGAGTTAACACGGCAAAAATGATTCGTAGTTTTCCTCGGTAGCCCATGGAAAAGACAGGGAATTCCCAGGGAAGACTAGGAACCGTTTTTACAGTGATTGAACTTTTTAACAGTCCATTCTTGGAAAGAAACTTAAGTTTTTTTTAAATAGATGTATTGTGAATCATACGCCTCAAACTATACAGCAAAGGCTCGGACCACTCTTAAAAGCCTACGAAGCACTTGCTTCATAACTACGAAGAAAATGAAGGCGTTGTAGAATTTCTTCGCATTATGAAGAAGTGCTTCGTATTACGAAGGATTTTGCTACATAATGCGAAGCATGTCTTCGTAAATTTTACAATGCCTTCCGTTTCTTCGTATTGCGAACCGATTCGTCGTAGAGTTTTGACTGTGATAAAGATTCGTGGGATCCACTGTAGTTTTTCCTCGCAGTGCACTGTGCGCTAATCCGCAGGGCCAGCCGGCCGACAGACAACGCGTTGCAGCTCGGAATATAAAACAATCCCCGCGACGGCCTGTAAGCGCTGCGAAAAGCCCTGCCCGCCCCACCCCACCCCGCCCCACCCCGCCCCACCCCGCCCGCACCGATGGAGTGATGTTGTCTGCTCGCCCAGCAAGCAGACCGGAGAGTGCCCGCCAACATTATCTGCCGAGCGATTCAGATCAGTCCTTCCCTCGTTCTGTCTCTGTCGCACTCATGGGGCTCTCCGTAAGGGTGCGGGAGAGACAGAGCGACGGACCGGTTCTCTGAATGGCTTGGCTGTGCCTTGCACGCTGACCCGCTTAGCCAGCCGTTCTATTGACCATCTCTTTTAAATGTTGTGTTTTCCTCTTTCGTTGTGGCCAGCAGGCCTGGGCCTGGACCGCTCTCCAGTGCTTTGCATCTCCCTGGGCGGTATGTTGAATCGGTCGGGGCGCGGTGGGGCGGGGCGGGGTGGGTAGGGATGGGGCGTGGCGGGCACTGTTTCCATATTCAGGTCCGTTTAGAGGCGCCCTCTCCACGGAGGCTGCTCCAGCTGCTTCTCTGGAACGCTGCTGGACAGTCAAGGGGCGCCACTTTAGGCTCGGTGCGGAAAAGAGTAACCCGAGCGAACCTCAGTGCAAGCAAATATTCATGAGAGGAAAAAAAATCCGTCATTTTTTTTTCGAATATGTCTGTTTTGTTTGAGGCCGCTTGTTGCGACACTGTGACGCCCCGACCTTGGCACGGTAATGCCACGCTTTTTCCTCCTACGTCAGGGGAGCGCCGGGGAGGAAAGGGGAATTGAAGCAGCGGGCGTTCCCTGCAGACCGCAGACCTTCATGGAGTCACGTGTTGGTCCCTGCTCCCATGACGGGTGCGTGTTAGTGTGTGTGCGTGGCTGTGTATGCCGGGGAGGAAAGGAAACTGGCAAAATTGTTGTCCTTTCTTTACGACTCACGTAGGGCGCTCTTCTTTTGTGAATGGCTTGCAAAATAATGCATCGTTTTGGGGTTCAATGGTTCGTGCAGCCGTGCGCTCCAGCGCAAACAGCTCGATCTACTCGTCGGTCTGTTGGTCGCATTCCGTTTTCGTTGTCGGCTATTTGCTTCCACCATATCGCCTTCCTCGCAGTGGACTGAGTGACTGTCTTCCCTGCTGATGATTGAATGTACGGTGCAAAGCCAAGGCCGCTTTCATCGTGCCACTGACTTCATCGAGGTGGGCGTCAACAAGGTGGGCGTCACCAAGGTGGACGTCACCAAGGTGGGCGTCAACAAGGTGGGCGTCACCAAGGTGGGCGTCACCAAGGTGGGCTTCACCAAGGTGGGCGTCACCAAGGAGGGCGTCAACAAGGTGGACTTAAACAAGGTGAACGTAAACAAGGTGAAAGTCAACAAGGTGAACGTCAACAAGGTGGGCGTCAACAAGGTGAGCGTCAACCAGGTGGGCGTCAACCAGGTGGACGTCAACAAGGTGGACGTCAACAAGGTGGACGTCCACAAGGTGGACGTCCACAAGGTGGACGTCAACAAGGTGGACGTCAACAAGGTGGGCGTCAACAAGGTGGGCGTAAAGGTGTTTGTCAACAAGGTGGGCGGAAGGTGGGCGTGAAGGTGGGCGTCACCGCGAGGTGGCCGTGATGAGGGCGTCACCAAGGTGGGCGTCACCAAGGTGTTCGTCAGGTAGCTGTGTTCCGGCTGGAACGCCAGTGCTGCCACCTACCGGAGCCGTCAGCCACCTCCGCCAAATTTCCGGCAGCAGCTCGGGTGCCGAGGGACTCCTGCAAACTGATTCCGACTGTGGTTTTCATCCCTCCATCTCCCTCGCACTCTTTAGGCGTCCCCTCTAGGTGCGAGAGCGACAGGGCGACGGAAAAGACCCTCCGAATCAGTCTGGGCGGCGCAGGCCCCTCCTGGCCTTCGCGCCACTGCGGCACGCTGCCTCCACCGCCGTCCGCGCCCTCGTGGTGAAAATTGATAATTCGGCGACCCGTGCCACCGCCCCAGTGAGGCCCCACCCACCCGGGCCAGAAGAGCAGGCGGCAAAGCCGGCCTGATTGGACAGGTACCCGCCCGGGGCCCGGCCCCGCCGAGGGCCCTGCCCGGGGTGACGTCGTGCGTGCGGGGGCAGAGGGGGGCCCGAGGAGCGGCAGTGTGCAGGCAAAAGACCGTGGTCGTCCGGAAGGAGGCTGCTCCCGATGAGATGTCGGGGATTTTCTCATGATACGACACGGCCCAGAGAGAGAGAGAGAGAGAGAGAGAGAGAGAGGGAGAGAGGGAGAGTAGGGGGAGGAGAGCAGAGAGAGAGGAAGGGAGAGAAAGCATAGAGAGGGAGAGGGAGGGAGAGAAAGCATAGAGAGGGAGAGAGAGAGAGAGAGAGAGAGAGAGAGAGAGAGAGAAGTCGGTATCAGAGAGCGGGATCTCCGGCGACGAAGATTGATGGACCACGCCGGATGTGAATATAGATACCGGCTGATAATCTGGTCTCGCAATCTCTATCACGTCCTATTCCCTGTAATTCCGGGGGCGGCCGTCCCGTGAGACCCGGCCGAGGAAGAAAAGGGGGCGGGGAGTGGGGACTGCCGAGGGGGTAACAACTGGTAAATTTCGTGTCAGCCGGATTACGGATTACCCTGGATTAGCCTGGATGACCCCCGAATTACCTTCGGATTTCAACAGAAAAATCCTGGATTACCTTTGGATTACCCCGGACTACCTCAAAATTTTCCCGGATTACCCCGGATTAACTCAAAATTTCGGGTCATCCGGATTACGGATTACCAATTTGCTGACAGCCGGATTCCCGAAGTCGTTACCCCCTCGGGACTGCGCTTTGGGGGTGGATGAAGCCGTGTAAGATAACACTGGCACGGCACTGAACGAAGGCTGGCGGATTATGAGCAAGTTATCGCGCCACTGACCCTCTGGCGCGCTGGCACGGCCACGGCAAGGCACGGCACGGCGCCGCTAGTTGCCAGCGCCCTCTGGCGGTTGCCGCTCGAGTTGGCCGGCCCGGCCGGCACCGCGCGGCGCGGAGTTTGCTGCTACGAGAATTATCGTCCTCCGCGTCAACAAAGTGGCCCAAATTTGCATTGCGTGTCCTGCGATACGGGGTTAGACGCAGAGGGAAGGAGGGAGCGCTCGGCGCGGCGAATTTCGTCCTCCACTGGCTCCGAAAACTTAATTCGGCGCACTGTTTCTACTGTTGGTCCATCTCGGCCTCATAAATGGAAGACAAAGCCAGCGAAACAATTAGGATCTGTTTTGAAAACTAGTGCTGAACTTGAATCCTGACCCGACCCATTTTCCTCCGCCACTTGTTGGCCTTGGCCGCTAAAACGCCACCTGCATGCAGGCGTGCAGGCTGATCCTCGTCGCACAGTGGGCCAGAAGACCGGTGGAGGCGGACAAAACGCCAGACGCGTTTTGAGCTCCAGCGTCGCTGAACAGGACTCGAACCGAACGTGTGACCCCATCAATGGATTCCTCGTTCAGAGAGCCATCCATTGGTGGGGTCACACGTTCGGTTCGAGTCCCATTTAGCGGCTCTGGAGCTCAAAACGCGTCTGGAGTTTTGTCCGCCTCCACCGGTCTTCTGGCCCACTGTGCGTCGCCCTGTATCTCTCGCGCACCGGCACGGGGACGCGCCACGAGTGCGAGAGGGACAGCGACGGAAAGCACTGCTCTGGACGACACCGAACACCACTCACCGCGTCGCGTGGCGTTGTCTGTTGCAGCCGCACCAGAACTGCAGCGTGGCGGAGAGCAGCAACAACTCGTCGTTCCGCGGCAGCTCGTCGGGGAGCAGCGCGCTGCCCTCGTCCCTGCGCAACAAGAAGCGCCCCGTGGAGAACGGCGGCCCGCACGGCATGTGCAAGGCGGGCGAGCACCTGCAGTCCTGCGTGAGTACACCCCCGGCCTTGAGTCACTTGCAACACTCTCAGCACGTTATTGACTTTTTGCTCGTTTTGTCAGTACTTATGCAAGCAATTTGCGCAACCATAACACGTACTTTTCCTCTTTTTAAAGAGCTACTAAGAAAATAATAAATAATGTAATGATAATTTTGTTTTGTACATAATATTACAAAGGAAATAGTCATACTTACTTAGAAAATACTGAGTATTATTAATTTCTGTTTATACGAATACGTATTAATGACGAAAAAGCCATTAACGTGCTGAGAGTGTAAGTACGCCCTTAAAAACAACAACAGACGAAAAACAGTTCGTACACTTTGAAAATATCACGTCGAATCCACCACAATGTGGTTGGTTTCTTTGTGTCAAATCAATATGACGATAATAATGATGATGATGTTGATGATGATGATGATGATGATGATGACGACGACGACGCTAAACACAATAATGACGACGATCCTAATGATGATGACGGTAATGAAGATGATGATGATGCAGGTGTCTGGCGGCGGCGCGGCGCTCAAGACGTACATGGGCGAGGGGCACGCCGTGATGCACCGGCCGCACTTCCACATGCACTGCGGCCCGCCGGGCTGTAGCGTGCTGCCTCCACTGGCGCACCAGGTGGCGCACTCGCACTCGCTGCACCAGCTGCCGCCGCCCGAATTCGACGACATGCCCCAGCAGAGCTTCATCCTGCACGCGTCGGCGTTCGGCGGGTCGGCCACGCTGCCGCGGCCGCCGCCGCCGCCCAAGGCGTGCAAGCCGCCGCTGTCGCTGGAGGTGGGCGAGGAGCAGCCACTGCTGTCCGCCTCGGCGCACAACCTGCACGCGCTCGCCAACAAGAAGTCCACGCCCGACGTGGCGAGCGGCATCCGGGCCGGCTGCTCCGGCATGTCGTCGTCCGTGGTGGGCGTGGGGCCCGGCGCCCTGGGCACCATCCGCAGGAAGGGCCAACCTGGCCGGCCCTACTGCCCGTCCCAGATGGAGGAGCTGCGCGTGTGACCAAGCTCGTCCGGGTCTCGCAACTGCGTGAGGTTCGCGCCGGACGCCAAGGGCGGCGAGGACATCCCCTTGAAGACGTTCAAGCCCAGGGTCTGCTAGCGCGGGCTGCGCGGGCTGGCGCGGCCTCCACTGTGGAACCGAGTGCGGGGAAGTCCATGCGTGACGTGCGGAGAATGCACCTTCTGGTGCAGAGTGATTCTCCACACTTGGACGTGTGGAGTTTAGCTCACAAAGCCCCTTACTCTTGGCTTGGTGCAAAAGTGAAGAACTCCACACTTGAAGTGAAGTACTCACTTGAAGTGAACTCCACACTTGAAGTAAAGTACTCAATTGAAGTGAACTCCACACTTGAAGTGAACTACTCACTTGAAGTGAACTCCACACTTGAAGTGAACTACTCACTTGAAGTGAACTCCACACTTGAAGTGAACTACTCACTTGAAGTGAACTCCACACTTGAAGTAAAGTACTCAATTGAAGTGAACTCCACACTTGAAGTGAACTACTCACTTGAAGTGAACTCCACACTTGAAGTGAACTACTCACTTGAAGTGAGGAGGGAGACCGCAAACTCTGTACTTCCAAGTGCGTAGACTGAAAATTCCACACCTCCGCACTTCGAGTGTGGACTTGTCCCCCCACACTTGGTTTCACAGTGTTGCCTTCGCGCCTTCGCGATTCGAGGCCCGGACGGACACGGACATGGACACGGTGCGTGGCGACGCGGTGGCCACTCGTCGCCTCGGGACTGACATTAATTTTATCATCGACTCGCGAGGGTGCGGGCGGAGGTATGAACAGTTTATGAAATAAAAAGTGATATTTGATTTTAAGTTGGGTACACTGTTCGGTTGTCTGCGGATAGTGTGCCCTGCGGTATTTTAAATTCGTTTTTAATGGTGTATGCCGAGGGCCATTGAATTATTTTGTTAGAACTAAACGAACTGAGAAGGCTAGTGGTTATTTTAGAGACATGTCAGCAACATTTTAGATGTTATAGGTTCAAAACTGCCTCCAACAATACAAACATATCGGGTGTTTTGTGTGCTAACAAATCAGTTCTTTAAACTTTATTCCTCAGAGCAGAACCAAAATATGGACTAATTGTATTTTGTGTTTTATTTTTACTGAATTTTGAAACATTCCATCCATGTCTTGGACACCGTGAAGCTCATCACGGCAAAACAACGCTCATCCCAATCAGTTAGTCGAGCAGAATTAGAAAAGGGGAAGGGGGTATTAATAAATTGTTATTTATAATGGGGACCATATTTTTGTAATTCTTAAAACGACTCTAAATTCTTTATAGCTGTGTATAATACTGTAAATAACTGCCTAATATCTGAATCACGGTTAATTGACTAACTTGCCATGGTGTGAATCATTTGTATACATACGCTTCTTACGAACTGTTAAAGAAACCATGTGATAACGTTTAAAAAGTCCCTTGGTGTCTGAAAAATAAAACTTGCACCCGGAATTTACCACCATTGGGGTGTACGACGTAAGTTGTATGTATGTATTTGTTTGTATATACAACACAATAAAAATGCCCAGTTGGCTCTTGCCCATGTTTAATTATTTTTTTGCATTGGCTTTGGAAAAAAACATGACACGTCAAGATTTTTTACAGCACAGCTGGTGCTTCTACAAAGAAGCGAAACATTTGAAATTTTTTTGTAGGTCTTCGGATTTTAACGAGCTATTATTTCGGTGCCAATTCCCACGCCTGCCAAAAGTATGAAAACTTGATGTCGCCTTGCGGTTTCCCCTTGCGCCCTGTTGCCGCGAGGGGCTGGTGGGCTCGTGCATTCCCTATGCATTGGCCGCGGCGCGCGGTAAGCGAATGGCTTAACAGCGCAGAGCCGTGTCGGTGGGGGCAGTATAACAAACGCGACATAGTCATGCCTCACGGCCGCAAACGGAAAACAAGCCAAAAGACCTACTAAAGGCCAAGCAGCGGCCCCGTTAGAAAAGCAAAAACCGATAAATCTGGTTTTTCCGCAGGAAAACAACCAACACTACATTGAAAAATGGGGCTTTACATTCTGTATGGTTTTGAAACCACCTGCTGAAGTCTGATGCAGTGGAGTGGCGCATCTCCTTCAGCGTCTTTCAAGAGGCAAAGCCATTTCGTATCCACGGGGAAATGCCGTTTTTGTTTTTATTTTTGCGGTGGAGGCTTTTCTTAATCCACGTGTCGCCTGTCACATGTCGCCCTGGCTGCTCCGCCAGCCGGGCGCTTCCCAAAAGTCACGTTTTCGTCGCTCTGTCTCCGTCGCACTCTTGGGGCGTCCCGCAGGGGTGCGACAGCGACAGAGACGCTTCGGAATCGCTCGGCAGCTCATGAATAACGGACCGTCCCTCCCTCGCGGGAAACAAAACCCTTCCACGGCAGAACGCGTGGGAGCCTCGATGAGGAGCTGTCACACCAGCGGAGGCCCGACGCGTTGGCGTCAAGGTCATCTAGTACGCCAAGAAAAAAGGACAACTCAAAAAAAGGGAGTTTGAATTTGTCACCAGCCTTGCCTATGAACAGTTTCTTGGCAAGGGCTTGGACTTGGCGCCGACTGGAACCAATCAGAGTCGTCGACAGTGTCGCGGTCGCGGTCTCCGGCCGCTAGCGGGGGAGCGCTCGCCAAAGTAGCTTCCGTCTTTACGGAGGACGAGCCAGCCACAACTTTTTGTTTTGTTTTTATTTTTATTTTTTGTCAGGGTGGACAGATTACGGCGCGGGGCCGGAGCTTAATTTTGACTGACTTTAACGGCGCCGTCGGCAGGGGGGATCATTAACACTGCGTGACACACGAAAGCGAGGCCTGCCCCGTTTAATTTACAAGACAGAGTGTCGCACGGAAATTGGCGCGTTGGAGGCACTTCCCACGCCGCCGTGCCGTTACACCTCTCTCGCTCCTTACCCAGCCACCCCGGACCGCCGAGTGCCTCCTGTCTTCGTTTTTTTTTTTTTTCATCGATGCATTATTTCCCGGAACTCCAGGTGCCGCATGACGAGGCCACCCCGATGGAAAGTAATCGAAGCCCCGCTGGAGGAAGCCGGCCCGGCAGCCTCCTGGAAGGAACCAGTCACCTGTGACGAGCCTGCAACGAATGAAGAAGAAGAAGAAGAAGAAGAAGAAGAAGAAGAAGAAGAAGAAGAAGAAGAAGAAGAAGAAGAAGAAGAAGAAGAAGAAGAAGAAGAAAAACAACCGGAACCAATGAAATGGGTGCGGGATTGATTCGGCATGGACGTAACTTTGGCGAGGGCCAACTGCTGTATACACACTCTGGAGCCACTCTCGCGAAGACCAAAGCGACGCGAAGCTTTTAGGCAACTTTCACCGTTATGTTGACACACATTGGAGTGCTTTGTTCGGCGCGAGTTCGGTGAGCGATAATGCCGGGCAGAAGGTGTCTGACGTGTGTGTGTGTGTGTGTGTGTGTGTGTGTGTGTGTGTGTGTGTGTGTGTGTGTGTGTGTGTGTGTGTGATGGTGACGGAGGGAGGGTTGGAAGGGTAAGGTGAGGGAGAGAAAGTGAGGGAGAGCAAGTGAGGGAGAGAAAGTGAGGGAGAGAAATGAAGAGGGAGAGAAAGGGAGATAAGGAAAATGTATCCTCAGCGTCTGCGTCTAGACAGTAAACAAGGTGGTAAAGGTCGACCTACTGCCGCGACTGGATCCACTTCCTGCGCTGAACATATGCGAAGCGACGTGTCGGGGCGACGCCCTTAGTTCTGTTGATCTGCAAGCGATCATTGTTTCCGCTGTGGGCGATGGGCGGGAAGGGGCCTTTCTGTGCGCGGTGATCACATCAGGCACGCACGCGAGCCGTGCCGTGCCGTGCCGTGCCGTGCCGTGCCGTCCCGGGCCGCGACCACAAAGGGAGAAATGGCCCGTGTGTTTGGCTTCGGCTTCCGCGGCCATATCGAAGCGCCTTTTTATCTCTTTTCAGATTTATTTTTGTGAGCCGATCATAGTGTTTACGCGTGGGACTCGCGCCGTTTTTCCGCGTTGTCCGTGTCTGCGTGGATGCAGTGAGGCATACTGTCGTGACGTAGCACAGTGGGCCAGGAGACCGGTGGAGGCGGCTAAAATTCTATTCGCGTTTTGAGCTCCAGAGATGTTAAATGGGACTCAAACCCAACGTTTGGCCTAACCAATAGATTCCTCATTCGGAGAGCATATTGGTAGGGTCACACGTCAGGTTTGAGTCCCATTTAACAACTCTGGAGCTCAAAACACTTATAGAACTTTTGCCGCCTGCGCCGGTCTTCTGGCCCACTGAGCCTAGGTGCAGCCTTAAAGTTGATTCAGTGGACAGTCACTTCAGCAAAACACTGTCCAAATTTTGAAAGGGGCGTTTGCCACAAGACACTCCCATCCCAACCCAATCATCCACGTATGCCGCGCTGCCCTGGCGTAATCAAATTGCCGGGGTGGGGGTCGCAATCCGCATAGCAGCTTTGGCGCATCATTTTGATCCCCGTGAAATGGGACACGAAGGCCTAAACCCAAACTCTGTGAGTGCGCGTGTGTTTGTGTGTGAGTGCATGCCAGCTGAGAGAGAGAGAGAGAGAGAGAGAGAGAGAGAGAGAGAGAGAGAGAGAGAGAGAGAGAGAGAGAGGTGGGAGGGGTAGTTTGCACAGTGCGTTTCCTGTTTTGGGCGCAGCGCGCGGACGGAGGATGAAAGTCCAGTCACCCAACAAACTCATTTTTGAATGGTTTTTTTGCAGACAGCCGAGCGGGTGCTGCACGTGTCAGGTGAGGTTGCCACACAGGGCAGAAGAAAAGAGTGGGTGGTTCGAAAAAAAACTGTAAACAACAACAGTAAACTCGAGTGAACTGGGTTAACTTGGGACGATTGTGTGATAATTTGAAACACTTTTTAAACCACGTATTTGTCACCGAGGCCACCAAACAAAGCCTCTCCTTGCTGTTTTTATGTCGCTACTCATCATTCATATTCATACTTAGTGATGTCGTAACTAAGCATCAATATAAATGTT